GGAGGGCGATACCCGTGCGGCGCAGAGGAGGGGGACCCGGAAAAGAGAAGGGGACAGGAGTGACCGTCACCCGTCACCGTGACGCAATGCCCGAGGGACATCAACTTCAAGAAGGGAAGATTGGCCTGGGCTCGGTGTCTCAGAAGCTTCAATCCACGGTGGCTGGCTGGTTGGAGTCTTGGCTTTGGGTCTCCGAACAAAATGGCGGAAGGGGGTGGTGGGATGCAGCTGGTCACCTCATGGAACCCGAGAAGCCGAGATAGAGAGGGGACGGGGCTGAGGACGCCCTGTGGCCCCCGAGGACATGTCCCTACGGCGTCAATAGCCTCAACGAACCTCCACTGCCTGCTGTCCCCACCGGTCCCCATGGTCCATCCAGCTACGGATCCACCACTGGACTCACCACAATCCAGTCCCCTCCCCAAAGCCACGTTGCTGGACAGTGCTACCCTGGGGACCCAGCCTCCCACCTCGGACACTTTGGGGGACACTGGGACATCGCGGCGCCCAAGCAGGGGGACCCCTCATGCATTGGAACAAAGCCACCCGCGTGTGCGGGGAGGCTCCCCCTTTGAAGCAGCCGAGGGAGGAACCGAGTCCATCAACAAACACGGGCTGCAGGAAACACCTCGCTTCTCTGGCGGGTGGCGGGGTGGCGGGGTGGCGGGTGGCGTGACAGACCGCGGCCCAGGGAAGGGGGAAGTGCGGCTGAGTCACCTCTGAAAGGGGCCCCACCTGGGTGCGGAACTTTCTGCAGATTCTCCCTCTGACTCTTCAGAAAGCGCGGGTCCCCTCTTCTGCTTCCTGCTTGTCCCCAAGAGTCCCCCGCCCTTCTTCCTGGCCCTTCTTGATCTCTGCAGTTTGCTTCCAAGAATTGATTTGCAGATGATGCACTTTTCAGCCCTAGTTTGCATTTTATTGAGAGACAGGGTCTCCCTGAGTTGCTCAGGGCCTCCCTTTGGCGGAGGCTGGCTCTGAACTCGCGATCCTCCTGCCTCAGCCTCCGGAGGAGCCGTTGGGATGACAGGCGTGGGCCACCTCGCCTGGCCCCGTGGCTGACCTTAAGATGCATCTTTCCCCTAAAGCGAACCTGCAGCCGTAGGCAACGTGGTTCCTGATTTCTTTGCAGCTCACGGGTGACCTCAGGGACAGCCCCGATCCTCCGCCAGCCAGACTGAGGCGGACGGCTGTGCATGTCTGCATAGATGCTTCTAGCCCACCGACCTTGCGTGCCTATGGGGGCTAATGCATGCACGTACAGTGTGTGCGACTTTGTGTGCCCTTGTACGGGGACAGTTCTGCAGGAGGGGCACCGGCCGAGCGGTGGCTGAGTCAAAGGTGACCCGTGAGCATCGAAAATGGTAACGAACAGGCCAAACGGAGCTCGGAAGTCCTGGGAAAAGTGGGACCGGTCTGCTCACCCACCACCAGGAGAG